CCGGGCACTCTACATGGGCAGAGCCCCGGCCTGGTGCTCACGACGCGCCGTGAGGTCTCGTGCCGAAGCACGTGGTTGGACTGGGGACCCGGCTGGGTGCTGATCGTGCTGTCGTGAGAAGTGTGGCGAGAGGTCATCGTTTCTTGTCCGAGCTGGTCGTTTGGTCAGCGCCGGGTGCCAGTTACGTGCAAATCTTCGGTCGGTGTAGGAAATAACAGCTTTATCGCGCTGGCGGCATCAGAAGAAACGTTTCGAGAACGTTGTTGGTGCTGTGCGACCGGGTCTTTGTCGTGACCGTAGGTTAAGACGAAGCTGGTGCAAAAAACTCGAACATTTGTGTCGATATCTTTATTTCGATGTCGTGCTAAACCGTCATCGAGATGCCACCGGCGAGACCACTGTCAAGATCACCGGGTGTGATCTCCTCAGACCGTTGCACATGGTCGTGATGTCTTGATACTGGATCGCATCAGGCTGCATTGCCACACTGATGCGATATCGCGCTTGTGGAGTGAGATTCCAGCAGTAGTCCGGGAGCGATGGTTTACCTGGATCTGATGGTAGGCCAAAGGCGGAGGTAAACACCGCGCAGAAGGAACAGGCCCTGGCTCTCTACACTCCACTGCCACCAGTAACCAGCTAGACTCGCGTTCATATTGCGAGAAGTACCTGATACCATCAATGTATTTTGTATTCATTGTAATCAAGGCGAAGAACAACTTGGTATTCCATCGTCACACTGTATCCAACCATCCACAAAGACGAGAGCGAGTCTGACCCGTGTAGATCCATGCAGGCTGGGGGTGGATGCGTGCAGTCAGACGGACGGCTGCTCAGCTGATGACGGTAGCGCCTCGTGCTGGCGCGCACTTCGAACGCCGCCGACAAACCCCGCGTCCCGTTCACGGGCTGATCCGCTGCACGATGCCGTACCCGACCCGGCCAAGCAAACCAGACATGTGCAGCAGACGTGGTCGAGCGCCATCGACCAGATACGTGCTGGCTGTGGACAGAGCGGCCGTATAACGATAGGAACGCCCGCGTTATTCGGGCAACAGACCTGCAGCAGCCGCGGTAAAGGCCCGTCGAGGCTGGCGATAGTCACGGCATATGGAGGTGGAGTGTTAGGGCGACGAGGGACCGCCTTGCACAATCCACCGTGTACCGCTCCATTCTGTGCGCCCTGCTGCAGCGATATTGACGTAGCTTGTCGCTTGCACTGAGGCAGAAGCAGACGCCGGAGCCGTCGGCTCGCTCGCCGCCGTGGTTTAGTGACGGGCGAGTGAGTGCATGTGGGCGCCCCGCGCCGAACGTCCACCACTGAGGAGAGCGTCCCCACTCGCCACGCCGCTTGCGACGAGCTTCGCCAATGTCCACGTGCTCAGCCGGGCTCCAGGAAGCGACGCCGGCGCCCAGCGACGCCCGTCCCGCTCGGGGGCCGCCGATTGATGGACGCCTCACGCAGGGCCGGCCGGGCCGACCGCGACGGGACGGTGGGCCCGGCCGTTTTCACAGCTGACTGAGCACGGCTCCTGCTCGCGCCATGCGTGTCGGCAGATCCTGCGATAGCGAGGCACCGCTACACGTCCGGTGACGGGGTCAGCTGGCACTTAACACGGGCCGGCAGCGCGGAGAAGCGGCGGTTAATCCTCTGCAAGCTCTCCACTTCAGCACTTCATTCCTCCCAACGGCTAGTTATGGCTCCATGCGGCAGGTTCATCAAATCGCTTACTGTTGGAATACTCCACTCCAGGCATGGTTAATGTTCCGCTTCATTGCTTGTCGGAATGTGTGTTCTCGATGACTCGGCATCACGGTCGCCTTGTAGATAGACCACCTCCAATGTCCTGAGTTGGCCTGCCGCGCAGCCTGTGTGTCGAGCCAGCTAATTACCTAATTGCCGTGACCGTCCTGCAAAGACCGTGCGCCCCGCTCCAGAAGGCCTCCAGCGTGACTCCGACGGCTGCACGTGCCGGACGTGCGGCGCGTGGCGACGCGTCACGACGTGCGAACAATGGGACGGTCTGTGCAGCGCGCTGCTCCAGCGCCGCTGTGGTGCCTGGCCGGGCCTCGTTCCCTGGCCCGTGCTGGACGGGGAGGCCCAGTGTAGGCACCGCCGTGCGTAAAGAAGTCCGAAGCTAGCGGCCCTGGAACGCCCAAGGTTTCCAGAGTTTCTGAGATGTTTTGCAACATGTATCCGGGGTTTCGGATATTTTGGCCGTTGGCTGTTGTGATGTTCAGACTCTGTTTGGCTGCCGAGGATGCCTGGCATTCCACTGCCCGGACGGCCCGAGCTGTCCAGACCGCCACACCTCCACCGTCCGCTCCCTGCCACGCTTTTCGTACCTCGTCTCCCGACACACCGTCGCCCGCCTCCGCCGCGGCCCGCCCCGCCCCCAGGCGCCCGGAAGCGGCGCGGATTGCAGCACCGCCGCGGCATGACTGGCCCGGCCCGGGCCGGCGCCGTGTGCCGCCCGTCTGATGATGGTCTGCACGCGCCCGACACGCTCGGGCACGCCCCTGACGTGCTCTGCGACGAACCGTGCACCGTCGTCTGCTGCCTCACCGTGGGTCCCATGAGGTCTGGTGAGGTGAAGGCAAAGGCTGTAATTTACGGCTTTCGTGCAGAGTGACCTTGCACTTGAGCGGGACGCGGAGAAGTGCATTGTTTTCGGCTGAATTAGCTGTGGGATATAAACTGTGCTGGGATGACTGGTCATCAGTAATCGCATACCACAGCAACCACGGGTGTTGTGTACTTACCACGTAGCAATATGTTCCACCATTGACATGATCGGCCCGGCAGCTCCGCAATGTCCGGCCCCGAGCCTAAGCTCGTCACATCGGGGCGCTAGAAGCCCCACATTCTGACCGACTGGACCGGTACCTGGGCCAGCTTCATTGCCCCACACGTGACTGGTGATCCCACAGACCAGACCGCACCAGACTAGACGGGGCGGCGTGTGGCAATACCCCGTCGCCGCGCTCCGCTCGCCTACCGCGCGCTGGGAGCACTCCGCGACGCCGGTGGCCATGCTCGGCCGTAACGACGGCAATCGCGGCGCGGCGGGCTGGAACGACGCCGATCGTGGCGCGCCGGGCCAGCCGCGCCAGTCGCGCCGCTCGGCGCGGGTTTGGCGGCAGCCGGCGGCGCGATGGGACGGCAAGTTGCCTCAGAGGCGCTGCCGGCGGCGTAGGCCGCCGTCTCCGCCGTGGGAGAGTCGTTCGGAGCCGGCGGACGTGAGCAGAATGGTAGTGAACGGCCTTGTGCGCCGGCTTTTTGATGCGGGGAAAAACACCGGCTGTGTGAGTGACAGATGTCTGAACCGAAGACGCAGCTTTTGAGGACTCTGTGTTAGGACAAACGCTGGAAAGCGCTTGATGGGATCTTTACAAGGTGAAGTATTTCATATAACTGAGATGTCCAAAAGCAACTTATAGGTGATAGCAACCATAAATGCATACCGACTGGGATTTCGGCGTGAGCCATTTCCTTATTCATTAGCTCAAATTTGTGAGACTTAGTCTAGAAGCTCACCAGCCAACGCAAATGCAGCTCAAAGATCTTATCGTATCCGAGCTCCGTTGCACGAGAGTCGTGTCATTGTGGCTGCTGTGTGCCGGCTGCAGAACTGCCCGCGCCGTCGCCGCGACACCGGGCTCCTTTCGTCTGACTAATCACCTCTCTCCCGGGCTGGAGGTACCGCTGTAGCTCTGAGTGGGATGCTGCATCTCGGAGGGGGCCGCACCGGCACGCCTCCGTGTCCGCCGCCGAGCGGAGCAGATTACCGGGGCGCGTGTGGGACGCACTTCCGGTCGGGCGCCGCGCGGCTGGGCTGTGCGTGTGCAGTGCGGACGCTGGCGCGCGTGCCCTCTTCTTCACGTCACTCCCAATCACGGCGTCTGCGGCGGCCCGTCGTCGCCCCGTCAGCGGACGGCGGGTGGGGAAGAGGTGGCAGGCGGGACGCGGGCTGAGGTGGGCAGCCCGCTGGCGGCCTCATCAGAGGGTGGACGGGGCGCTCGCGGCCCATTCAGGGGCGTATCTAGACAAAGCGGGGCAGGACACGTTAGTAATCATGACCATTAGGTGTACCAAAACGGCTTGGCTTAACCAAAACATCTTCACAATCGCTGTACAGCCACTGTACGCTCCCATAACACTCCTGCCACTTGTGAGATCGACCCTCTCTGTTCCGCTGTTAGTTTCATGACATCAGTTCCCAGCCCGTCCACTCTGCTCCGCATCCCAGCCTTCGCCCTGTCCGCTCTAGCTGCCTGGCGGCCACTCTGTGCTCGAGACCCATAAACATGTTCACTTGCCGCTGTATCGTGCCAGTTCCCAGCCGTGTCGTCTTGACCACTTTCCATTATGTCCCCTTCGTGATGTCCTGATTCGCTGGCCTGCCATCCCATTCTTCGCCTCAATCCACCGGCATGTCCAGGTGCACCATCCTGTCCTGGTCCGTTACCCTGTTGTTGTGTCACAGTTCCTTTCCCATGACTTTATTCCGCTGGTCCGTTTCCATCAACTTGGCCTGCTGTCTCGATCTCCTCAACATATCCCACCGGTCCAACCCGATATCCTGTCTCGCTGTCCCACCGTCCCTGTCCGCCGTCCCTGTCCCTGTCCCGCAGTCACCTCCGCCGCCTGTATCCCCTGTCCCCGTCTCGCTGTCCCGTCGTCCCGGTCCTCCGCTGTCTCGGTGCGTTGCGTCCCCGTGTCTTGTCCCGGCGCGTCTCCGCCGCCTGTACCGTCACGGTAACGCTCTGTGTCCCTGTCCCCTGTCCCGCTGTCCCGCCGTCCCTGTCTCCTGTCCCGCCGCGTCCCTGCACAGTGCGCTGACTGGCGCGCCGCCCGGCCGCCGGCTGCAATGTTTATGCAGCCGGACCATATGGCAGACGGCCGGGCGTGCCGTGCCGTGTTTTGCCGGCGCATCTGTGGCGATCACGCTGGCTTCAGTGCCGTGGGCCGGCTGTGCTGGGGCGGGTGTTGTGTCACGGAGCCGCGAGCCCACTGACGCGAGCTCGCACACTGGGCGGTACGTCTCGGCGGCGGCAGGCTCCGAGAACCGACGGGGCCTGCGAGCCAGCCGAGAGTGGCAGGTCCCCCGTGAGACGGCCGCCATGGCGAAGGGTGTGTTCGACAGGACGGGGCCCGGCGGCAGTGATGCTTGGGCTGGTGCGACGGCGGTGCGCACGGCGCCGTGGACCATCAAGAGGCTGTCTCCGAGCGCAGAGGACGAGCTCGTGGGAAGTGCTGAGGATGCGCCACTGAGTGAATAGGCGCCTCCAAGCGAGGGAATCATCAGCGGCCGGGACGCGGCGTGACCTCCAGCTTCGGCAAGGTGTCTGTCCCCGCGCTGAACTAGTGGAACGGAAGTGGGCCATTATGTCCAAGAGCCATGGAAATCACCTCAACGTCACCAAATCCTGGCGTAAGCACAAATCTGGCAGATAATAGTTGTCATACATCAGTTCCTACTTGGTTTATAGTTCGAAAGAGTTGGCTGGGAACTCCCTTCGTGGAGTGGAAGTTAATCCGATTTCCGGATTATATTTTCTAAACTCCAGCTACATATAATATATATATATATATATATATATATATATATAAAACATTCATCCCGTGTCAGAGGCGTGATGTCAACTTACCGATGAAATGCTGTAAATGCAATTGCATCCCATGTCTCGAAAAAGGTTTGGTTTATAGTTCGAAGAGTTGGCTGGGAACTCCCTTCGTGGAGTGGAAGTTAACCCGATTTCCGGATTATATTTTCTAAACTCGAGCTACATATAATATATATATATATATATATATATATATATATATATAAAACATTCATCCCGTGTCAGAGGCGTGATGTCAACTTCCCGATGAAATGCTGGAAATGCAATTGCATCCCATGCCTCGAAAAAGGTCATGATTAGGATGTCCGTCACATGCGCTTAAGCCTGCGAAATTTTGCGACTGTTCCAAGAATGCCTACTGATAGTACATCCGACAGTATGAGACAAATGTGGCTGTTGTGGACTCTTTGTGCGCTGTGGAAGACATTAAATTTCATCTTCTATCTCGCATTATGTCAATAGTTACCACGCCAACACCTGACAAAGTCAGCGTGACTTTGCTATACACATTTACGTCCTTCCGCCACGCTGCCGTCTTTCCGCCTCTGCCCTCTTCTTCTAAACGCCTTTTTAAGCGCGATACCGGTCTAAAATAGCGTTCCCGGTCGACTCACGGCGTGCATAATAGCCACTGTCACACCGCGCTATTCCCGGCGACTCCCTGCTGGGGGACGAGCGATCGCTCGCCAGGGCCGCGGCCGGCCGCGGTCTAGACGGCGAGCCGGAAGGTCACGTGACCGGCCGGCGCGTGGGCGCCAGCCCTGATCGGTCCGTCGGTGGGCGGCGCTGCTCCGTGTCGACGGCGGCGGGGCGCCGATAACGAGTCCGCCGGCTGTGACGCGTGTCAAGGTCGTGCCGTGGTGACGGGCGCCTCCCCTGCCGCGGAGGCTGGGCCGCGCGGCTGATGGCGGCGTCACTGTCGTGCATACGGCACGCGTGCCTTCGTCGTGGGTAGTGACGCAATACCGCCCGCCAATATGTGAGGTGTGCGTGGCTTCATAACTTAACTTAGGCTATGCTTCAGTCAGCACGTCAAAAGCGTGTCCGCTTACATCAAAGCAATATCTAAGTATGCGTAGCATCCTGTTATTCGGGACCCATGGCAATCCGTTGCCACGACTGATGTCCCAGCAGTGAGGCCACGCTGAGTTCGGGACGGTTTAAAATATGAAGGAGCACGAGTTGTAGTATCATTTTAGCAGTGCTGACATGTCCTGGTGGCGGCCACCTGCGGCCGCCACGTCGTCAGGTGCTGCCGCGATGCACTACCGTCGCGATATGCCGCCACCGTGATGTGCCACTAGCGTGATGTGCCACCACCGTGATATACCACCACCGCGATGCACTACCGTCGCGATATGCCGCCACCGTGATGTGCCACTAGCGTGATGTGCCACCACCGTGATATACCACCACCGCGATGCACTACCACCGTGATGTACCACCACCGTGATGTGCCACTAGCGTGATGTGCCACCACCGTGATATACCACCACCGCGATGCACTACCACCGTGATGTACCACCACCGCGATGCGCCACCATCGTGATATGCCACCACCGCGATATACCACCACCGTGATGTGCCACCACCGTGATGTACCTCCACCGTGATGTGTCACCACAGCGATGTGACCCCATTGTGATGTGACCCCACCGTGATGCGCACCGCAGATGAGATGCTGGAGGCGGAGGGGGCGGCGCTGCCGCTGCGTGTGTTTGACCTGGAGAAGCTGGTGCGGGACCAGCAGGACGAGATCACCTTCCTCAAATCGACGGTGGCTGACCTTCAGCGGCGACTGAACGTGGTGGACGGCGCTCGAGGTCAGTGCACCACTCAGGCTCAGGGGCTGGAGCACGAGGGGCGCCCTCAAAGAAGGAAAGTCGCATCGTCTGTTCCGAGACGCGTGTTCAACTAAAAGGCGTTCTCGTACAAATGGTAGTGAATTCCACTCTGAAAATGGCCTTACTGAAAGTATGTTCTGCGGTTCTACACTTCGAGCAAGCCTCCGTTTTGAACCGTGTAATGTATGCACATGACTTGGCTAAGAACAGAGTTGAATACTCGTGACACATGCTGCCCCCGGCGAACGGAGACACTCCGTCGCGTGGCTGCTCACTGCGCAGCGGGAGGAAATCGCATGGCTAGGCTGGCTGAAGCCCCATTGGACTCCGTTGGGCCCGATCGTATTTTGACGACGAGTGCAGGTGGAGTGGCAGATAACGACCCCTGTCTCGCGGGAGCCCCACCCAGTCACCGCCGCCGCCGGCCGGTCCGTACACTGGCCGGTGAGGCATGAGCCGACGCAAGTGACGTTCAATTCCATTGGGGTTTGCCGCGGGGAAAATGATTTAGGAGGGCTCCTTTGAAGCCCGCGGCAGACTCACGAGGTCGTGCTGCACTTGACATGACCCCCGCGACGTTGTGCGCCAGGTGTTCACACGCAGGTCACCGGGTCAGCGATCGAATTGTTTTCCACCGTCCCGCGCACGAGCACACTATCAAAGTGCCTGTCCAGCCCAGACCAGCACACAGCTCTTACGGGATCGGCGCCGATGAGGATAAGACTTCGGCCCTGTCATGGTTGTGTCTCGGAGCTGCTGCGTCGCAGCATGCTTATGGCCATGATGGGGATTCGGTGGAAATCTATGGTCTGTCAGAAGCTCCCATTGTCTGCCGCTCATGAAATAGCTGCCGTGAAGGCTAGCCTTAGAGCCGGTTGCGAAATTGCTCCTTTGAAAGAATGTTATGTCATATGGCCAAAGCAGTTATGTCTTATTTCTATTTCTTTGTCATTCTTTTGTGATATCTGTGTCTCCGCCCTCCCCTAAATGTCGCTCTACCCACCGTCCTCGCTTGCCCCACGCGTGGTGGCGCCGTTGTCCATTTTCGGAGCTGCGGCCGTGGAGATCGTCTTTTCTGGTCGTGACTGTGTGATGATGCGCCGTTCCCGGTCGCACCAGTCCGTCTCGCTGCCCGCCTGTCACGTGTGCGAGACACGCTCTGAGACAGCTGGGGCCCGCGGTACCCGATGCTTGCTTGTCTCCGCCTTTTTTCGTGTCACCAGCTGGGAGCTCGCATTGCGTGACCTGATTTATCAACCTCAGGTGTGTCTTACTAGCACCGTGATGTATTCAAGAGGCCCTTGCGGCTTGACAATGCGCGCGAGTGCATACATATAAAGTTAGGTATTGTGTTTTAAGGGCGCGCCAACACAGTGGTTATTTGCGCCGCGTGTTTATAACGAGCGATGGAACGGACTGGGTAAATATTTGGGGAAAATTACGGCAGCGCGCTCTTGTAATGTTAGTCACTACCCTACGGGTGGTAGGTGGATTGGATAAAAAAGTTCTGCCCGCGAAGGCTCTCTTTAAATGTCTGCTCTCAGCGCATTCCATACATTCGTGGAGTTGAGGTCATTTGGTAAGGCATCGTGTTCTGAGCACTGAGAACCTTAGCTCGTCCGTTTCTGCAGGCGCGCTTCTTCGCGGCGCGTCCCCTTAGTGTGCGTGCCAAACCCAGGTGGGAGACCACACTCAGCATGTGTCCACCCCGGGGAGTCACGCGGCACGTGGGCCGTCATCGATCCGTCGGTGCGTCCCCCCCCCCCCCTCCCAGCGGCGCCGGAAGGGAGGGGGCCTCTGACAGATGGTGCCCCTTGACCTCAGCTGATTAGATCTCTCCTCCCGGAGCGTTTGACCATGTGATATGATAATACTGACGCGTGCGGAGGCGTGTGGGTGCTGTGTTGTAACCAGAGGAGCGGATGGGCTGGTTTAATATCGAGCGCGATTTCGCAGAGAGTGACGTATGGAGAAGATGGATGCTTGTGATCTGGAGTTATTTATTCAAGTTTTACTCAATCGGTCATGGTGTGAGTAAAGTTGGAGGAGCGTGGCCATTCTTATCCTCTGAGGCTTATTTGTTATGCTGCGTGTACGGTAAGAAGAATGAGGATTGGCATCACCTGCGTTCACATACTTTGGTTTTCCGGAAATTGTAGATAGTCCTCCAAACGGTGTAAATATCCAAAACTTCTGTTGCCAGAAATGTCTGAAACGACGCGTGCGAAACGGAGTGTTCAAAGTGACGTACCCGAACTGAGGTCAGTTTCAAGAGCCATTCAGTTCATGATCCAGATGTGTGTCATTCCCCTACGCTTCGCAGCCATCCGCCCTCTCTAAACATGACGCGAGTGACGGACAGAAAAGCATGCTGTAATCTGAACGGTGCAGGGGGCCACCCTGGGCGGCACCGAGAGGTCACGCGCGTCAGCCTGACACGTGTGACCGCGTAGTATCGCTCTCTCGGCGATGACGATAGCCTGGCTAGATGCGGCGAAAGCGGCGCACCGCCGGTGCTAGGACCACTCCGGCGTGGTGATACAGTCGTCGGTGGTCATGGCTTCGAAGTTGACGCTTTCTTTGCGCGATGAGGCCCGTCACTATTGGAGCGCAGTCGCTCTCCATCGTTATCACTGAAGCTTTCAGTCTAGTTTTCACCATTGTTGTCTAGAAGTTAATAGTTCAAGTGGCAGAGACGTTTGCGAGCATTGCATCTGGATGGCAAGGTTGAAACGTTGAAAACGTTGAAAACGGTTCACGTTGAAACGCTTGGTGCGTGTAACAACACGTCTTGGTGATTTGTACATGCATGCTGCTTTAAGGTTGAAATGGCGCAAGCACGGAATGTGCATAAACAAATAAAGCAGCGATCTGTCAACCATTTCGATGTCGTATGTATTTCGGCAGCCCAACCGCGGTGTCTAAATTCCAGCATAGTCCAAACTGCTATTCCTACACACACACACACATACACTGTTACACACTCGTATGTGTCTTTAGTCCTCCGGACTTTGAGGAGGTGCACACAAGAGCTCATTCACGCTGGTCCACTCCCAGCTGGTCTGGACAAGCGGTGAGGGACTTTGGGCTGCGGTCGACCCCGATGAGAGGCACGGCTGCCGCTCGGCGTCCGTGACATGGAACTGTGCAGACCAGAGGAGACATGACCAGCCGGGTCCGTCTCCCTGCCGGGCGCTGACCGGTCACGCTCCCCGCCATCAGACACGGCTGGGTGGGAGGGTTCGAGCGTGACATCGTGATCTGCGCTGACCCCGGCGTGACCTCCAGCTGCTGGTGTACAAACTGCAGCCGCGTGCGCGCGCGCCGCGTGAGGCACCACCGAACGACTCGCGCGGAGTGGACTCCATTGTCCAGGTGTTACACGCCTCGCTGGTAATATTCGGTTGCGTCATAGTATTCGTACGCCGAGCACTTAAGAAACCGACGGTTGCCATTGTCAGGTTCTGCCTGTATTCAAATGACTAGATCTCCATCTTGATTCAGGTCAGGGTATCTTTCGGCGCGTGCCCAGGCCCACCTCGCTGACCCCTGACCGGTGCTCCGTGTGGCCGTGAAATACGCGGATCTTGGCCACGTCGCGACCCTATGAGCCCTCATCCCGGCTGCTACGCTTTCCAGTCCCGGTTGACGTCTAGGCCGTGTGGTAATAACCACCAGGCGCGTGGGAACGGGAGTTGGGCGGGAGTCCCCGCATCCACCCCATACCTGATCCATGTCCTGGCCATTTGGCACGCTACCTGTCTTGGACCTGGTGCAGACGTGGCCCCGCCGTGACGCTCCCGCCCACCCGGCATGAGGAGTGTCGTGACTGACGTGTTTCGCGACCCCTGATCGGTCTCCTCCCGTGACCCGGCAGCCGTGAGCAAGCTGACGTCGGTGCAGAGCCCGATGCGGCCTTCGCCCCAGCGGCTCGGCAACGGCCTGCATGGCGGCTACGACAGGGCGGACGGCCCGCGGCGACGACCCATGACCGCCCAGAAGAGGTCAGTACGACAGGGCTAACAGCCCGAGGCGGCAGCCCATGACCGCCCAGCAAAGGTCAGGGCAGGTCACGCGCTCAGCAGACGTCAGCACAGATCACACTCCTGGCAAAAATCAGCGCAGGTCACACGTCCTACAGAGGCCAGCGATCGCCACACGACCAACAGACGCCGGTGCAATACACTCGTGAGGGGGAGGTCAGCACAGGTCACACGTCCTACAGAGGCCAGCGCTCACCTCACGACCAACAGACGCCGGTGCAATACACTCGCGAGGGGGAGGTCAGCGCAGGTCACACGTCCTACAGAGGCCAGCGCTCACCTCACGACCAGCAGACGCCGGTGCAATACACTCACGAGGGGGAGGTCAGCACAGGTCACACGTCCTACAGAGGCCAGCGCTCACCTCACGACCAGCAGACGCCGGTGCAATACACTCACGAGGGGGAGGTCAGCACAGGTCACACGTCCTACAGAGGCCAGCGCTCACCTCACGACCAACAGACGCCGGTGCAATACACTCGTGAGGGGGAGGTCAGCACAGGTCACACGTCCTACAGAGGCCAGCGCTCACCTCACGACCAACAGACGCCGGTGCAATACACTCGCGAGGGGGAGGTCAGCACAGGTTACACGTCCCAGAGGCCAGCGCTCACCTCACGACCAACAGACGCCGGTGCAATTCGCTCACGAGGGGGAGGTCAGCACAGGTTACACGTCCCAGAGGCCAGCGCTCACCTCACGACCAACAGACGCCGGTGCAATTCGCTCACGAGGGGGAGGTCAGCGCAGGCTACATTTCTAGTGTGGCTCAGTACGGAGGGCGCGGCCGGCACGTGTCGCACACCTCTCCTGTTCTCCGGTTCCACGCCACACGGCATCGATCTGTGAGGCCGCGCCGACCCGGACCGGCTTCGGTATCTGCTTTCCTGTGACGTGATCCGTGATGTGTGATCATGGGCTTCTCCGGCTCGGTGCTGGCCATGTGATGGGCTTCCCGTGTGGTGACGGCGCCAGGCGGCCGACAGTCTCGCCGGCAACACCGCCGTCACGGGTGTCTCGAGCGTGACGTAAGCTGCTGCGGCGCTGGGTGCTGCCTCGTTATTCTCACTCACGCCCTTGGCGGCCGTGAACGGATTGAGCTATAAATTCGACGTGGTTCAGCCGTCTTAGGCCTGCACGTATTCTTGCCACGGCCACTATGAGAACTTGAGTTATTACATCGACGACTCCTGTGCTGTTGAGGGGATTTTATACAAACAAGGCTTGCTATTCGAGAGCTGCAGATACCTGCCGTACATTGGTACAACGTCGACGTGTGGTACATTGATGTAATCCGACGGAAGGGCGCGGCAGGGGTGATTCGGTGCAGATGGCTGATAACAATGGGTGTGGTCCACACGCTCTGCCGCCATCACTCGCAGCCACGGATTTTAGCAAACCCAGCAGACTTACTCGCCGTAATAAGCTCACCGTTAAAACTCGATCGTGAGGCTCAGCAATCTGGCCATTCTTACAGATGGCTGAGCTACGTTGGGCCCAGCGTTTATCACATGCCACTCGCGCTGTCCCGCCTGGGTTTTGGAGCAGGCGGATTCCATCAGAACTCCGCGCTCTCCGCCGTACCCCGGCCGTACGCCACGCAGCGGTGTACGGCCGGTGTTGTTTGGGAGCGGGAACCTCACGGCGAGAATGTAACGGAGCCGTGGGAGGCAGTGGCCGGCCGGCCCCCGCTCCGTCACTCCTCGGCCGACATGTCGTGACGGCTGGCTGCGGGCCGCGGCTGGGGCGTGGTCGCGGCCGGCGGTGGCCTCGCCGACTTCGTGCTCTGCCCTCTCCGAGACGCCGTTAGACCCAGCTACAGTTGGCTATCAGCTGGTCCTCCTGATGTCCATAAACTGGCCGACTCGGCAGCTGGTCGTTTGCTGTTCAAGGGCTTCAGCTTCTTATCTTGGCAGCGAAAAATATGTGACGTCGGAGAAATAACACATTAGTTGGTCATCCATTGTCCTTGGCCCTCGATACGTTTCCGCAAAGCTGACTGAGCTCTAAGGCGCTCCCGGCGCCTGAAGCAGCCATCCGTCATACTTGACAGACCCAATTGGTGTGAGGCGTCAGAGATAAAATAGGACTATTGATTATTTACGGACTCCCCTCGTGATGGCTGCCGTCATGGCCAGCGCTTCTGCTGGTGCGGTGTCAGGTCTGAGTCTGTGTCGCGTCTCCTCCTGAGAACGCTCTATTTTCTGAGCCCCCTTCGCCTTCGAATGAAGCTTCGGCTGAATAACGCTGATCTCCATGTTGCGAGGGTTTCTTGTTTGCTATGCTATCCCGTCTTCAATGCGTAGTACACGTTTGTCGCTTAGGATTGCTGTTTGAGAGCCACTCGGGGAGACCTGCGGTTTTCATGCCCACAAGGTCGTGAAGGCAAGTTAGACGCTAGGAAGAGGGCGGTATTGTTTTTGCCGGGACTGTCGCATCCAGACTATCAAAAATGAGCGGAGTCGATATGCATACAGCACAGGCTGTGACCAAACCCTCCAAAACGTACACAAAACATCCCCGCGGCCACAGCAGACCAGGCGGAGCCATGGTGACTGTCTGCACCTGCCTGCAGTGCCTCCACCGCCGCCTGCCGCCGGCCGCTCCCGCAGTCCTGTGGCCGTGCCGGAGCACGCCCCCCCCCCCCCCCACCCCCTCCGGACCCGGGGCACCATGTACGGTCTGCGAGGTGACCTCCGGCCGACCGCGCGCGCCGGGCTCACATCCAGCGCGCCGGGCTCGCCTCGAACGCGCCGTAAGCGCCTGACCTATAAACGAACGACGGTTAATTGTGTTATCTGATGGCTCGGCTCGCGCCGGACAGCCTTGGAAGTGTCGGGGTCGGCCGGGCCCGGTCCGGGGCCCCACGGGCTCCTGCCGGGTGCGGGTCACGGCACCACCGAGACGGCGCGTGGTGGGCTCCGTCACCGGCGGGAAGGGGGGCAGTTCTCCGAACCTGAATGCAATGTCTAAAGCGTGTCTTGGAATGAATACCTTTAAGATCTTGCCCCCCCCCCCCCTCCCTCCCATGCCTCCTAAGTTTTGGTCTCCCGGGGCGGGTCTACAGCAGAGTGGTAAAGAAGTTCATGAGTAGTGCCAGTCATTTGGCTAGCGGCAATATCACGTGATATAACTCCTGATAGCCTGTGTGACATCAAGTAGCTCGCTGAAACGCGAAGGGGCGTAGTTTGGTGCCCCCGGGGAAGACGCTCAAAAATGTTTTAAATGACGCCTGAAGGTGGCCAGGTAAGTCCAGTCGTGCGGAGACCCAAATAATCAGTGTACGGATCAAGAAGTCACACATCGTCACAAATCACAGCATTGTCACACCAGCCGAAGATTAATGTTGTCGTTATCCGAACTAACGATCAGGCTGTCGGCCCACCCATTCCACTTATCGGTCGTTCCGTGTATGCTATATCAAATGAGTGCCCGTGCTCATTGTGACAAGTTCGACCAGTCGGTAGGTGATTAAAGCATTTGTATTTAGCTTGTTGACATTCATGCGTTTAGGGCTGCATCTGCTACTCAAGGCGTTCCTGAATCTAGTACCAAGCCCCAAAGGTCATCACGAATGGCGGATATCCAGAGCAGCTCACACATCCATTCAACAGCACAATCGAGAGGCGCCTTGGTCAGGACCTCTCGAACCTTGACGGAAGCGGCTGTGATGACTGAGACCAGCCGGCCGTAAAAACTGAAGCCTCCGGCTGCAGCCCCGACAAAGGAAGACTAGCTTCAAAAGCGCTGGTCACGGCCGGTGGTGCAGAGATCGCTCGCTCTGTGCGGGCTGCCTGAAGGGCTGGACTCAGACGACCCCCCCCCCCTCCCCCCAACGCCAGCAGATCGCGAGGCCGGTCCGTGCGGAGGGAGAGCGGTCCTGGGAGCCGATCGCGGTCTGGCGCGTAACGTCAGGGATCTGCGGCCCGGTGCACGGCAGGGCCGCGCGGCGCCAGTGGCACGACACCGCGTGTTGAAGTTGGCGGGCGATCCGGCGGCCAGCCTCCTGCAGACAGACTGTTTTGGTCGTACGTTGCCACCGCTGGCGCCTGCTGCTTCTTACAAACTCGGAAGCTCGGCAGTTTGGACAGTCTGGCGCACCGAGCATGCAGCTTGCTGGGCGAACAAGTCCGTCCTCGTCCGGTAGCGTCACTTTCGACCGTGTCTCCGTGACGGGTGACGTCCGAAAGAATGACGGCCCGGACAACTGAACCGATGAAATGGCACGCCATCTGGACAGATAAACCGCGGGTATACGCTGAACTGAGCCCGGTTTCTGCAGCCACCATGACACCAAAGTGACACATGTGGTACGTGTCGGCGCATAAAACCACGAGAGCCGAATTGGCACCTAGGCGTAAATGTGGGTTGAGTAAGCGATCCCAGGCAGTCCGGCAGCAACATGGTAGACAGACATAACCTAACTGAGAGAAGGCTTCGATTCCGATATTCTGTAACGTTCTCATCCCTCGATAGCCCAGTCTGTCAGACCAGTCCGACAAAGCAGGCAGTCAAACCAGGGCGCGTGACGTGCAAACAGACCAGATGGAGGTAAACGGGCCAGGAGACGTGACAGAAGCACACACTGACCAGTCTGACCGACTGGTGGGCAGTCAGCGTCGGCAGCGGCGCGGGGGACGACAGCCTCCGGGGACCCGTCAACTTACGGCCCACCCACTCCCGCCGCTGACATCGGCACCGACGACAGACGGGGCGCAGCTGCCGGAAGCCGAGGTGTGACGTGACGTGACGTGACGTGACGTGACCACGCGGTGCGCCACAACAATGGCGCTCCGGGGAGTGCCACCCGTCACGCGCGCGCGCCACGCGCCGGCGGCCTGCCTGGAGGGGGGGGGGGGGTCACGGCGTGCCAGAGCGCCGACCCGTGACCGGGCTGATGCGTGTCGGCGGGGTCCGAGGCGGCGCGTGCGGCGCCAGGTCACGGTGTGTGGGAGGGGACGTGAGGCGTGATTCGGGGATGACGGACAAGATCACGGAGTCGGGACGTAAGAGGGCCGAGTGAGGCGGCCAGTTCAATCGGGCAAGTCAGCGTTGAGGGGTGCCGGTGTGGTCCACTTTAAGTGTCGACATCCGGCTGGAGGCCCCGAGGTAGGCAGCGCGCCGGTGGCGGCGATGGCGACCACTGCCTATTGGCACAGTCTACATTCAAACTCAGATTAAAGGAGCCAGATGGTGCTGTGACCAGATCACGAGTGCGCAGTGAGACAACATCCTCCACATCGTACTTGATTTTATGGAGACCCGAAGTAAATGGGAAGTCGCTGTATCCGGCAATCGACTCCTGAACCCGGCCTCTGAAACCCGGGCCATCCCAACACCTCGCCACTGAATCACCCACGTCTGCTGAGTCAAACGGCCGGAAGGTGTTTGAATGTCGCAAGGCGACCGGTGTGTCTTCAGCCCTCGGCAAACAGACGGCTCGATCGATATGGCTGCAGGGCTGGCTGGGCGTGCAACAGTCGCCAGCTGATAACGCTGCACTTGTCGACAGATGGCCTTACCACGCGGACACCACATGCCCTGCGCGAATACAGCAAAAGCGTCACGTTTATAAACGGCATGTATTTTCACATTGAAGAACAGAGACTTTTGATTAATTTGCAGCATAAGTTCCAAGCAATGTCGCTCAGAATTCGGAGTTTTGTTAGAGCACGGTTGATTGTGTATTGCCCCGGGTCGCTCGCGACGCCGCTGTCACCCGTCACTCTGGTGGCTGGCTTGCAAACTGCGCTGCGAGTGTAGCGTATGCATGTGTTCTTACCGCAGCGGCTACACCCAAGCATCCCCACTTACCTAATTAACTCGTGCACGGGCCCCGTCATAAATTAGGGACGCCTGTGTCTGAATGACCCGAAGGACAGATGTTGTAACGGTTTATTACCCATCCCATGCCACGGATGAAGGATATGTAATTGGTGTGGTAGTTCAGGAATAACAATCACATGAATAATGTTGGTGCATGGTGACCGGCATTGCCCTTAGCTGTGCATGACGAGCCATCGCTTGACCTTGTGGTGCCGTTCGCCACCTGTCGGACATGTGATTGAAAGCGTGCTGTATGGAGGCTGGTTATGATAGGGAGCGAAGCACCGTCCGTCACGTCAGATGTACGGACTGGGAGCTGGGTGCTGTATGGAGGCTGGTCATGATAGGGAGCGGAGCACCGTCCGTCACGTCAGATGTACGGACTGGGAGCTGGGTGCTGTATGGAGGCTGGTTATGATAGGGAGCGGAGCACCGTCCGTCACGTCAGATGTACGGACTGGGAGCTGGGTGGGCGCGGCGGGTGGGGTGGTGTTGGACTGATGCTTCCGAGCAATGCCACCTTTTACACTTACCTTGGTCGAGTTCACACCAAGGCAACTGCTTCTACAAACTGGCAATAGCTGACATGCTTACGCAAAAACAGCATATGACGGTGCTTTCCAGTGGGGAATCAACTGATTGCCGCTTTTGCCGTGTATAAAACGCTCACTCCATTTGCCTCTGCTTGCTGTCCGGTACGTGTGCGAGGAACATTCACTCAGCTTGGCACTCTACAAAACTCGGACCCTTCTTCAAAGGAAAGTAGATGCAAAAACGGGTGAAAGACTTTGAAATATTCATTTATGCCATGCATACTACACAACAATGACTGAAAATTTCATGCATCCAATCACTCCTGAAATCGCCGAAATTTTGACATTCCGTTGACGCCTCAACAAAGTAATGCGCATGAAATGTAGCGATGTACACAGGTCTTTCCAAGCATATTTTCTGTTTGCAGTCGTCGAGGAAGTAATCTAGGTGAGGCTGCAGACATACATAGCAGTCTGGGCGAGGCGGCTGACACACAGTACACTTTTGGTGAGGCGGCTGGTATACAGCACAGTCTGGGCGAGGCTGCAGACATACAGCACAGTCTGGGCGAGGCGGCTGACATACAGCGCACTCTTGGTGAGGCGGCTGGTATACAGCACAGTCTGGGCGAGGCTGCAGACATACAGCACAGTCTGGGCGAGGCGGCTGACATACAGCGCACTCTTGGTGAGGCGGCTGGTATACAGCACAGTCTGGGTAAGATTGCTGACACGCAGCGCAGTCTTGGTGAGGCGGCTGACACACAGTGTGGTCTGGGTGAGGCGGCCGACATACAGCACAGTCTGGGCGAGGCGGCTGACACACAGTGCACTCTTGGTGAGGCGGCTGGTATACAGCACAGTCTGGGCGAGGCTGCAGACATACAGCACAGTCCGGGCGAGGGCTGCAGACATACAGCACATTCTGCGGCGAGGCGGCTGACACACAGTGCACTCTTGGTGAGGCGGCTGGTATGCAGCAAACAGTCTGGGCGAGGCGGCTGACACACAGTGCACTCTTGGTGAGGCGGGCTGGTATACAACACAGTCTGGGTAGATTGCTGACACGCAGCGCAGTCTTGGTGAGGCGGCGACACACAGTGTGGTCTGAGTGAGGCGGCCGACATACAGCCACAGTCTGGGCGAGGCGGCTGACACACAGTGCACTCTTGGTGAGGCGGCTGGTATACAGCACAGTCTGTGCGAGGCTGCAGACATACGGCACAGTCTGGGCGAGGCGGCTGACACACAGTGCACTCTTGGTGAGGCGGCTGGTATACAGCACAGTCTGGGCGAGGCTGCAGACATACGGCACAGTCTGGGCGAGGCGGCTGACACACAGTGCACTCTTGGTGAGGCGGCTGTATACAGCACAGTCTGGGCGAGGCGGCTGACACACAGTGCACTCTTGGTGAGGCGGCTGGTATACAGCACAGTCTGGGTAAGATTGCTGACACGCAGCGCAGTCTTGGTGAGGCGGCTGACACACAGTGTGGTCTGGGTGAGGCGGCCGACATACAGCACAGTCTGGGCGAGGCGGCTGACACACAGCGCACTCTTGGTGAGGCGGCTGGTATACAGCACAGTCTGGGTAAGATTGCTGACACGCAGCGCAGTCTTGGTGAGGCGGCTGACACACAGTGTGGTCTGGGTGAGGCGGCCGACATACAGCACAGTCTGGGCGAGGCGGCTGACACACAGTGCACTCTTGGTGAGGCGGCTGGTATACAGCACAGTCTGGGCGGGGCTGCAGACATACAGCACAGTCTGGGCGAGGCGGCTGACACACAGTATACTTTTGGTGAGGCGGCTGGTATACAGCACAGTCTGGGTGAGGCTGCAGACATACAGCACAGTCTGGGCGAGGCGGCTGACACACAGCGCACTCTTGGTGAGGCGGCTGGTATACAGCACAGTCTGCGTAAGACTGCTGACACACAGCGCAGTCTTGGTGAGGTGGCTGACACACAGTGTGGTCTGGGTGAGGCGGCCGACATACAGTACAGTCCGGGTGAGGCTGCTGACATGCAGTGTGTCTGTCCCTGCAGCCGTGGGTGAGGCGGCTGACATACAGTACAGTCCGGGTGAGGCTGCTGACACGCAGTGTGTCTGTCCCTGCAGCCGGCGGCCGTACCACCACCAATCGACGGGTTCGCTGCACTCGGACGGCCACAGCAGCAACAGCGTCTCGCCAGTCGCATCGCCCAGCCCCACGTATGGCCACCAGCGCCACCTGGCAAACAGAGCTGCGCCACTCAACAAGAGATGGAGCTCCACGTCCGACTTCCAGCCGGCACACCGGGCGCCAGCGGCCAGCCCCAGTCCGACGGCCACCGTCAGGTGAGGCCTTCCCTTCCCTTCCCTGGCCTAACCTGACCCAGACTGGTCTGACCTTAGCTGGTCCGACGTGACCCGACCGGGTCTGAGGGCCCAGAGAAAAGACAGTGGGTAGCAGGAAGCAGGGAAGGTTGGAGGTCTTCTAAGGATGCGTGAGAGCACGTTTTGACAAACTGTTGAATATTTTCGCATGACAAGCCACGCAGTGCATGCCACCGGGGTCTGCGGATATCTTTTGTCACCGCTATATCACCGCATTTGCTCTGCATATGGTAACGGTCACAACCATTGCGGCTGTACGTTTAGAACTGCAGCTGTTTTCGTTTAGCGGGCGCACCCTTGGGTTACCCATTACAACTCACAGACCATCATATATAAACATGTCATCATCTCATTCTGGGCTTGAAATAATCATACGAGTTCCTCATTTGCTCTTGCCGTGCATATTTCTGTTATTTTCTGTAAAGTTTGATTTGTTAATTTACGTAAGCCCATCTCAATGCACATACTCTCTTGCAAAGTCCCGTGTCTCTTCGCCACCTGTCACCTGTCAAGTGCACTGGCTGCTGGTCCCCGGTCCCCCTGTTGCACCGGCGCGCCGGAGAGATCAGCCTCCTCGCGGCGCCTCAGCATGCGTGGCACGTGTTTTGTAGCCTGAGGCGGACGGGCCAGACGCCGCGGGGCCGACGGCCGGAGTCGTATGCCGGCACCGGGTACGTGCTCTTCGAGGAGCCGCTCGACTTGTGGCGACCCAACGACAACCGCGACGGCACGCTCATCTCACGGTACACGCCGGAACTTGTAGTTGAGCTGGCGGCCACCAGGGCCGACTGACAACTGATGGTTCGATTCAAAGACGGATGGTTCGAATTCAACGTGATCTTTCAAGCGTTCTAGCTGCCTGTCAACGTTCGTGTGAAAAGAACTTGTCTGTTCAGGGTAAATGCAAGACGGGTGCTGTACATCTGGTTTGTTGTCAAGATGTCAGCTGTCCGATGTCAGGACAAGCCGCTATGAGTTCCGAATTATTTAGAGTAATTTAGGTCGTCTTTAAGCGATAGTGCGAGATCTTCATTCCGGGACCAAAGCCGCCATGTACTATAGCCAGGCACCTAAGCTGTAAGCCATACCACAAAGCTTCATTGCATGCTTCTTACCGTACTGCTTGATTTGTCTATCCGGGTTCACTGTAAGACCAGCACTCCGTCGCCTTATGTCACAAACGTCACGCTCGTCCGCTTTGTTTTTCAGCTACCTGAATGCAATCACTCTCCACCAAATTTGCTGTTGCACGTGTACTATGCTTGTTGCTCCGTGACAACGGTTTGCGTCCAGCATTCGCTCACCTCCATGCGGCCGCACTTATGCCTGTCTGTGCTCAGTGCACGTGCTGAGATGTTGTGTTCTTCCAGACGTCCGTTAGGCGGCTCGCTGTCCAACCTGAACCGAGCTGTGGTTCCACGTGGCACGGGGTAAGTGAACAAGGACTAGAGCATCTGCCTTATCCAGTAAGAGCACTGAAAACATACGCCATACTGAAGGGCGATATAAGGCAAAAAAGGGAATTAACTAACATCGGGCGCGAACAAGGACGTACTCAAGGGGATTGCACCCGGAACCTAGACACGTATCTCCCATATCAGATTTGTATGTGTGCTAATATGCAGGTGGATAGATGTCAACATCTTAAAAACAAGGCACACGTGGCGTGGTTAACAACAAGTAGACTAAAGCTTGTGACGTTTTTGTACACTGGAAAAGCGCGTGCCCGTGGCGCTAAAATGTAGTTTCAATGCACATTTTTTAGTTGTGCCTCACCCCCCCACCCTCACCCCATCCCGCCACCTCATCGCGAAACCCCGCAAACGCCCCTGGGCTTGTAATCTGAACAACGCGCACGTTTATTTATACTCACCCAGTGATTTCGTTGCTCGATATGCCACAGCAAAGCATCCACCAGTGCGTCCCCATTCACGGCCTATCTGCTACTCTCGCTCCGCCTCGTCTCGCTGGGAGTGTGTGGCGACCGTCAGCCGTGAGGCCGGGACTCCCAGCCAGGGTGGCTGTGAGGCCACCGTGGCTGAGAGTCCCGGCCTCACGACCACCCTGGCTGGGAGTCCCGACCTAACGACCACCCGGGCAGGGAGTCCCGGACTCACGACCACCCGGGCAGGGAGTCCCGGCCTCACGACCACCCTGGCTGGGAGTATCGGCCTCACGACCACCCTGGCTGGGAGTCCCGGCCTCACGACCACCCGGGCTGGGAGTCCCGGCCTCACGACCACCCGGGCTGGGAGTCCGGGCCTCATGACTATCCGGGCTGGAAGTCCCAGCCCCATGACTACCCGGGCTGGGAGTCCCGGCCTCACGACCAAACTGGTTGGAAATCTCGCTTGAGCATACTGACACACTGCGACCGAGGTCCGCTATACTGGGTGAAAAAATAACCCAGCATGGCTACAGTGCTGCTACAAGCATCACAGCTTACCTGAATCTAATATTTGTGTATCATTTCTTTGGGGGGGGGGGGGGGCGAAAGAGCTCTCACCTAACCAACCTAAAGTCAGGAGAGGCCTGTGAGAAATTCCGAGTGAGACGCGAACCCAGTTGCAGAACAGGGAGAGAATGTCTGGTTTGGCCTCCTTTTGTTTTTTAATGGATGGGGGTGGGGGGAGGCGTCGAGCATGACAAGGCTCTTTCTACTTTTTAAAGGTTCCGAGTGCCAGTCCTTACTGATGGGACGTATATTATCGAGCATCCGAAAGGTCACTGAAGGCACGGGAGAGCTAAGCCCCTGGCGTTGCGCCACCCTCTGATGCCCGCAGCAGTATCGATCGGTGCCCCGCTGTGACAGAAAAAACACACCTGTCTCGGTGGCAAACCAACTGCAGGCTGCAGGCGCCGACTGGTAACAGCAGCTCAGGTGTAACCTGCCGCTCGAAGGCAAAAAGGCCTAAGGGCCATCAGGTAAAATAGCATTTAGGCCTTTTTGCCTTTGGACGGTAGCAATGCACTGCACTATATTAGCAAATGTCGGCTGCGTTCCCCGCTGCCACTTAAGGCAAAAAAATTGTGTCGGCAACAAACCATCCTTTGAGGTGCACACAGATGCATAGCTCGTTGAGTAGAAACCCGATCAAAGCGAATTAAAAGGATGCGGTTTATGCACTGCACTAGTCTCTAAAACGGTACTGAACCGGGAAACTCGGCACGAGGAGCTCTCTCACCAGAACACATCAGACTTGCGTTCAGTATGTGTTGTGAGCTGCCAGTCTGTGTTAGCATGCATCCTTGCCAGGTGAACCGCAAATGATTCTTTTTATGACATTTAAACTGTTTATTCCGTAGCCCGTTAACCTTCCGCGGCGGTCTTCGGTTGCGACGAGGATATTTGTGGAACGTTCATGCGCCGTTCACCCCCACCCCCAGTCTGGCTGAATGGGTAATAATCCACCTAACTGGGCATTTGGCTCGTAATCCTACCGACCAGACATGCAAGATGATGAAAGCCTGACACCGGCCTCGTACTGACATCGCTCTGACCTGCACTGGCACCACGCCACTGACTTAGAACCGGTGAAGTTTGTGCCAGCGCAGTGGTTGCTGCGCTTAGAGCATTCAATGGAGACGACAATTTCCTCACACCGCGATCGTGCCAGCAATGTCTCAGTCCAGGGTCTGCTCCTTCACCGCCGGTGGTGGCTCAGCACCTACTACCGGTCCCGCGGCGCCCGAATTCTGCGGCTGTTGCTCCGATTGCCGGCAGGGGGCGCTAGCCGGGGAGAGCCCCCATTGCACCATGTGGACCGTCTGTGAGTCAGAATTAGTTCATGCCGTCGCCGCGCCAGCGTCTGCCAGCCGGCGGAGCGCTGCAGGAGAGAGCGCCGGAGCCGGCCGCCCAGCCCTCTCTCCGGCCGGCAGAGCGCGGCCGCACTTTCGCCGGTCCGCGCGGCTGGCGACGGCCGGACAGGCAGTGGTGCTGACGGGCTGGTGGCGGTCTGACCCCGTGCGAAGCTCGACTGCGGGGAGTGTCGGCCGCGTGTACTCACTGGGGTGGCGCGGGAAGAGTGTCACGATGGGCGACCGGTTTAAGGAGTGAGTGCTTTGATGAGTGAGCGGTGATGGGATGCGGTGCCATGTTGGTGTGAGCAGTGATGGGATGCGGTGCCGTGTTGATATGTCAGCAGTGATGGGATGCGGTGCCATGCTGATGTGACGCGTGATTTGATGGCTGGTGCTATAGATTTGTTAGTCTTCTTTAGTTTCCTTACCTCGTGCCGCAGAGGTGTGCCCAAAAGTTATTCCAGGGGGCATGTTGGCCGAAGGACTCCCAACTGCAACGGCCTGAAGCCCCCTAAGAGAAGAATCACTTTCAAAATGTTTGTTTGGGCGACCCGAGTTTGGGATGCATGAAGTTACTAAAAAGCGATATAAGCAGGCCTTGCTGGGCTATCTAGGCAGGACTTATTTATTCCAGCGGGACCCTCATAATTCCGAGAGATTACCTCAGAGGCCCAATTTGAAGTCCACGGGTCATTTATGTTGATCTCTGAAACAAGACTTCGAAGAAAATGTGCCGTTTGCGCCGAGATTCCGGTGTATCTAATTACCTCGAAAACCTAAAACAACTTTGGAAGCGTTTTGCAGGCTGTGTGATTTCTTTGAAAACGTACATCCACTACAGACTTCCTCCGGGGATTCCTCTGCATGCATAGAACTCGTCTTGCAAGCGCGAGGATCCCGATAGATCTGAGTAAGATTTCACTCAATGCTCTAGAGTCGCTTTTAAGATTGCTGGTTCTCTGTCCGGGCCATAAGCCCTTGTCTGTTATCGAGGAATACCTTCATTCAAGGCTCGAGGACCTTCCCTGATCCAAGTCCTTTACTCCACTTCTGCAAGCGTTTTGGTGAACGTTGTGAGAACGCCTTCTGCCTCTAGCTGGATAAGACAACCAACCGCGAGAAACCAAAGACACAGCTCTTGTGATCCTCCCAGTTGCCAGCCTGAGGTTCGTTCTTGCCCTGTTGGCACTGATAATTCGGACATTGATCATTGGTGGTCCACGGCTGTGCTGCTGACGGCCTCCCCCATATAGCCCTTATCGGAGGGGCCTCAGCTGTTTGCACAGCTTGATATCGCCGAAATTTGAACCCACACGCTGTGTCTGGCTATAGGGTGACGTGTACAGAACGCAGGAAATACGCTCCAATAGGTACGACAAAATGGCTGCCATATTTTCAAGTCAGAAATAATAACACACCATCTGTGGTGACTGCGCTGCAATACTGTAAATGTTTACACATACCCTTTTCCGCCCTGATGACGTGTACCACCGACACATTCAAAACAGTAAACAAACCGTACCGCATCTGGATGGCTGTCCCCGACGACATAACGAGCTCAGTTCTCCGTCCTTCCGCAGCACCAAGGACATGTCGTACAACGCGGACGATGGCGTGCTGAAGATCTTCCTGCGCGGCCGACCCGTCAACCTGTACGCGCCGTCCTCGGTCCGGGAGGAGTACAACGTCAACGGCGCCAACCCGGCGCCGCAGCGCAAGCTCAAGCTGGAGTGGGCGTATCCTTTTCATGTTGGGCGTGGCCAGTGGAGGTCATCTCACTGCGTGCCGTCGGAGCTCCGAGAACATGGGCACAGCTGCCTGACACGACATCGCGAGATTGACAGGAGGAAGAACCACTGTTCGCTGCGTCAGCCGTGGGGCGGTTTCTAGCAAGCGCTAGGGCGCTCAGCAAATCTCCAGATGTACGCGGTGTAGGCACACTGTAATCTACGACCACTGTGACTATCATTCGTGGTGTAGCGGTCACGCTGGTTGTGCTATGGAGTGCAGCTAGCCGTTATCAGTGCCGTCTCGCGTCTAAATCCGTCCTCATTAGAAGCTATCAAGTTCGAGTGCCTGGGTAAACATGGCACCGAGGAAGGCTCAAGCAAAAAGTGCACCTAAGCGGGTCATGCGGTGTCTGCTACCCATGGTGTCACAGCTAAATGCTGGGAGCTGCCAGTCAGTGCCACGGCGCTGACGAACACCGGGCGTTCTGCCACAGGTGTATGTGCAGATGCTTCAGCACTGCTGGGTCGATACCAGGAGGAGGCACACTGTTTGCCTGACCGTTTCCCCATTCTGGCATCGCATCGACACATTTGGGATGGAGGCGCAGCTCACGGTCAGCGCTCGCCGCCAGCTGTGCCAGACTAGTCGCTGCTTGACTCACTGACGCTGGAGGCCGAGGCGGCCCGGTACGTGCGCACACTCGCGCTCGGCCGGGCGTGCAGCCGGTCAGGTGACGTCACGGATGTCAATGGCATCGCTCTCGTCCCGCGCGCCGACACTCTGGCCGAAAGCGCAGGATGTGAACTTCCTCAAGCCGGAGATTAGGATTTGCGTAGCGCTGCTATTAGGGAGGTTAGCATTGGCATTGTGAGTTCAGATAATGGCGCTTCCTTTCACATGCAGGGACGCGTAAAATGCGTATGGGTACACCCATGACGGGCGGTGCTGAGTTTCGCCAGTGTACACTACTATACTACACAATAACATAGATATAATAATCTAGTTAGTGCAAATTTTGGGTTGTAAACATAGGCGCTTACATCCGAGAAACCTAGCGCGGAATTCCAAAGGTGACTAGAAGTTAAGAACTTGGCACCAGGAAATTGTTACCAGTCGAACTGCACCATGTTTCGAACATGACTCAGTATGCCTAACCATGATGACATGAATTAGTGACTGACTCAGAGTGTACACACGACAAGGTTTATATATTGTAATATTTCGCCAGCCGTTGACGTTATGTAGTCATGAGCCGTTGATGTTATGAAGTTATAGCATGTCGAAAAGGGCTGGGAGAATCGCTGAGAACCAGTTTGACATCCTGTTGCTGTCATTGCCTTCCACCACCACGCACCGTGTCCAAATGATTTGTCAGACCGCCGAACCACCTTTCCTTAACTAATGACGCACAGTTACGGTTACCGCGGCAAGGACTGCCGAAACAACCTGTACCTGCTGCCCACCGGTGAGATGGTGTACTTCGTGGCCGGTGTGGTGGTGCTCTACAATGTCGAAGACCAGATGCAGCGCCACTACACGGCCCATACGGATGACGTCAAGTGGTGGGTATCCTCCAGGAGGTGGCCGGCTCGGCCCGTGAGGTGGCGGGCGTGCCGCGTCCGCTGGGCATCCGGAAGTGCACTCGGTCGGGGATCGCGCTTGGGGCACAGCCGGATGACCAGCGCTGAACCAGGGCCTCTGCCGATGGAAGCCGTCGAACTGAAGAAGAAACACGGCTTCCCTTTTTCCTCATGTATTTTCCTTCTTCTCGATGATGGTGGCGGTCCAATGCAGTTACCAACTCGTGCCGCGGCCAAGTGTGTAAAAATACATTTTCACAGGGTGAAGAACAAACCGGAAGAACCACCTGAGCCGCAGCAGAAAAAAAACGGGCTGCGATGTTCGTTCCTGAACTGCAGACGGGAACAGAAGCTCATGACTGACAGCCTTGTCTCTGCTCCCCAGTTTGGCGGTTCACCCGAACCGGTTCACGATCGCCTCCGGGCAGTGCTCCGGCACCAAGGCTGACGCCCAGGTGAGACAGTGCTCGGAACGGTATCGCGGCCAACAGCAACGCAACCGCAGCGACCGATCTGGCGCGACCTCATGCCTGCGTATAACACGGAGCGGAAAGTTCGAGGGGCTTCCAGCCAGGTGATGGCTTCTCTGCCCTCTCCGGACGTACACTTTGATCGTTTCCTGAGCTAGTCACCGTTTTGTTGCCAATGTCAGCCCATCCCCCTCTCCGCCCGCATGTCTACTTAAGATCACGTTATCGCATCATCTCGCTCCACCCTCTCCGCTCCACCCTCTCTGTCTGTTCACCGCGCCGCTGACTCCTGCCGGTCTTCGGTTGTCAGGCGCAGGTGCACGTGTGGGACAGCGTCAGCCTCAACACGCTGCACGTGCTGGGCGCCGGCGACCTCGAACGAAGCGTCTCGTGCGTCGCCTTCAGCCAGCTGGACGGCGGCTCGCTGCTGGCCTGCGTGGACGAGGGCCAGGAACGCACCCTCTCCGTCTGGGAGTGGCAGCGCGCCGCCAAAGTCACTGAGAACAAGGTGAGCAGATGCGCAGGGTGGCTGGCGGGCGCTGGAGGGATGGTGATGTAACGGGGTCGTGATGAACGCACAAAGGATGATGTGGGCGTGCTGGTGGTGATCGTGAAACGTTCTGTGAGATGGGCGACGTGGGAATATTTCACATCAAAGGCAAAAAAGTAGCAAGCTTGCCGGTAGAGCGATGATGGGAGGAACATTCTTGTAATTTTTGAAGTCGATGTCTAGCACGTGTAGCCAACGTTTAAAGACCCCTCAGCTGAAGACAACATTGTTCACCCCTTCAGCCAATTACTCATGTCAGCACCTTACTCGCCTGTTTATTAGTACCGTTTGCTGATGCGTTCAGAGTGGTTCTCAAGCGAAGCCGCGGAAAATGTACAGCATCCAGATCCGCTGGCTCGCTACCGCAACCTGCCCGGCACCCAGATCCGCTGACCCACTGCTGCAACCTGTCCGCCACTCAGATCCGCTGGCTCGCTGCTGCGCCGCCTCAGCGCCCAACCTGTGGAGCCCCATGAGGACCACGCCCTGACACGGCTCTCGCCATTCGCCGGCAGGCCTCTCTGGAGACGGTGGTGGACGTCCAGTGGCACCCGTTGGACCGGGGCGTGCTGATGACCTGCGGCCGTCAGCACGTCAACTTCTGGCTGCTGGAGGCTGGCTCTCTGATGAGGCGTCAGGGCGTGTTCGGCGGCCGCGACCGGCCCAAGTACGTCACCTGCATGGCGTTCACTGACACGGGAGACCTGATCACCGGCGACTCCGAGGGGCGCATCCTGCTCTGGGAGCGAGGTGAGCGCCTGGGGGAGCCGACGGCAGCACGGCGCTTTGTGCGACTTAGCAATGTTGCTAGTGGTTTGGCTTTTCTCGTTTAACATCTCGCAGCTTGCGATGATTCTTTTATCAGTTCGAGTTACAAACAAATGTTTTTATTGGAAGGGTGTTTTCTTGAAAATCTTCCTGAAGCATTCGGAGAAGATATGAATCAGATGGTGTATCAGCCCCGATCTCACCTGTGGCCGTAACGTCCCTGCCAAATTGGAAATAACTAGCATGGGATATTGCTGCCACTGGCGTGTTTTAAACCGCACTTCTAATTGGGGCTTTAGCCCACTCTCATTCTCACCGTCCGCGCTTCCTCCCCCGCCCGCCCAGGCGGTAACCAGGTGGCGCGCACGATCAAGAACGCCCACGACGGCGCCCTGTTCACCCTGCTCGTCGACAAGACGGGCAACATCATCTCCGGCGGCAAGGACGGCAAGATCGTGCAGTGGGACCGCGCCCTCTCCCGCACCGGCAGCGTGCTGGAGGTGAGAAGCGGCGGTTGCAGAGACCGAGGGAAAGTGCACGGGTAGCCGGGCTAATCAGAAGGCATCAACTATCCTCTCGTTCTGTTTATACCGGGTTCAATTTGGCGTGTTGGGATCTAGGCGTTTGTGCGTAAATGGCGCGTTGTACGAGCTGTAAGCCGCGTGACGTGCAAGTATGGTAAATTTCGATAAGTTTGTCTTCGAATGATTACTTTGGGTTTTGTTGACGCGTCACGTACATGGGCTCCAGTTCAGTGTGTGAGCATCTGGCCGATGTGTTCGACGATCTGATGATAAGTATTACTCCAGGTCCGTGTCCCTGTGCCATTTTTCCTGTCTGGTGGTCATAGATTCCATTATTGTCAGATGTTCAGGGGCTAAATGAGCTGGTCGATTAATGGTTCGCTCGTTCCTGGTCATCTGGTTCCCCCTCCCCTCCTCAGTTGCCGGAGGAATTCAGCCGTCTTGCAGGATCGTGGCTCGTTACCTCTGCCCCCTTCCCTATTCAGCTGCTGAAGGAGTTTGGTCGTCTCGCTGGGCCGCGGCTCATAACCTCTGCCCCTTCCCTCCTCAACTGCCGGAGGAATTCGGCCGTCTCGCGGGGCCGCAGCTCATGACCTCTGCCCCTTCCCTCCTCAACTGCCGGAGGAATTCGGCCGTCTCGCAGGGTCGCAGCTCGTGACCTCTGCCCCCTTCCCTCCTCCTTAGCTTACGGAGGAGTTCGACACGCCACGGATCGTCTCGCAGGGCCGCAGCTCGTGACCTCTGCCCCCTTCCCTCCTCCTCAACTGTCGGAGGAGTTCGGCCGTCTCGCAGAGTCGCAGCTGGTGACCTCTGCACCCTTCCTTCCTCCTCAGCTTCCGGAGGAGTTCGGCGCGCCACGGATCGTCTCGCAAGGCCGCGGCTGTCAGCTGCTGATCGGCACTACGCGGAACTGTATCCTGGCCGGCGACTGGACGGTGCTGCCGCGTCTGGTGGCGCGCGGCCACACGGACGAGGTGTGGGCGGCCGCCGTCCACCCCGGCCGGCCACAGTTTGTCACCGGCGCCTGGGACGGCCACCTGCTCGTCTGGGACGTGATGACGCACGCGCCCGTCTGGGAGCTCGGTCTCGGCGTGAGTACTCGACGTTTGGCAGACAGTCTCAGCGTGAACGTATGCCGGGTGCAGAATGTTTGTTCGATGTTTCTGACCCTGGCGTGAGTTGGACACGTGAGCTGCCACACTCGTATTGTGCTCGTTACGTTCCACGCATCCGTGCTGGCGTGTGAAGTGTAGCTGCCATACGTTCTCTTCGTGATACCGTCACCAGCGCCATCACCGCTGGCCGCCGCGCCGGTCTGACCGCCCCCCCCCCCCCCCCCCTCTTCTGTCGCCGCTCAGGAGGGTATCCAGTGCGCCGCCTTCTCGCCGGACGGCTCTCAGCTGGCCGTGGGCCTGGTGACCGGCCGCTGGGACGTGCTGGACGCCGACACGCGTGAGACCGTCTTCTCGCGCTCCGACGGCGCCGAACCCATCCAGGCGGTGGCGTTCTCGCCCGACGGCCGCATGGTGGCGCTTGGATCGCGCAATAACACGGTTTACATCTACCAGGCGACGGATGGAGGCTTCGCGCGCGTCGCCAAGTGCACGGTAAATGGCCGCGGAGGCGTGTGGCCGAGTGCCCGAGATGGCATGTGGCCGACACGGTGTGGGGTCAGGGCGTGATGCTGTTTGGCAGTTTTATGAGTGCATCGACACTGAGCTCGTTTATCCGTCCAGTATGTGACCAAGTAAAAACCGAGCTATCTGACGCGTACTTAAGACAGTCAATGCCACTGTCTGTGCTGCCGCCCGAGCCCCGTGTCTGTGCACTGAACTATCTCGAGCCCCCGTAAGACCCTCGGTGCCACTGTCTGCGCCGCTGTCCGAGCCCCCTGTCTGGGCGTCGCCGACAGGGTCACTCGAGCTTCGTGACGCACCTGGACTGGTCGGCCGACTCTGCCTTCCTGCGCACTAACTCGGGCGACTACGAGCTGCTCTACTGGACGGCGGCCACCGGCCGGCAGCTCACACAGCCCTCGCAGATGCGAGACACCGAGTGGGCCACCCACACCTGCACCCTCGCCTTCAACTCCATCGGTAGGTGACAGCACTCGCCTGCTGATGGCTCAAAGCGGCAGGTCAGTTAGCCGCGCAGTCGGACGCTCAGTGGCTGGTTGGCCCCTGGCTTCTGTCAAACTGTGATCATGCGAGGTGTTTGCACCAGTTTCGTGCAGTTTCGCGGTGTATGTAAAATACACGATGTATTTTTCAAGACAAAATACCGTTTTGTTGTACGTTATTCCGCAAGAAATAAAGTTGCAAAATATAGTCAGTTGCTCATTTCCGTAACGTTCCATTGCACCAAGTGTATTCTGGTAAGGCTGGTCGTTCAGACTCAGTTTTAAGCAGCATTTTTTACTCTTGATTATGGTACTGGATGTCGTTTTAGAAAAGCCTGAACATCCAACGGCAAAAGTCACAAGCGTTCTGCTTCTGGCGTGCTCGTCCCGGCTTGCAGTTCCATTTCATTCTATAGCATTGATTCCCCTCTTTCTTCAGGCATTTACCCGGAGGCGGCGGACGGCACAGACGTCAACACCTGCTGCAAGTCTCACAGGGGTCACCTTATGGCCTCCGGGGATGACTTCGGCAAGGTTAAGCTGTTCGGCTACCCCGCCAACAAGGCCAAGGTAGGTGGTGGCCTATGCCCCACACAGACCTAGGATGGCTCCAGAGACGACGTGGTGCTGTTGCTGCGTAACTACTAATGACGTCGAGAGGATATCCATCTCGGCAGGCATAAGCAGAAGCTCCATTCAGACCGCATGCTGCTGTTCTAGCATCGCATACGTTAGAACCGTGAAATTGTACAGCTGTCTGTGCTTTCTTCAAGCTCAGTCCACGCACGTGTACGCAGCGAAGCCCTTCACACCTGCATAGCGTCTGATGGCCACACTGCTTCCCTGCAGAGCCACCACCAGTCCTGCCGGGGTCACAGCAGTCACGTGACGCACGTCCAGTTCTTCAGCGAGGACGACCGGCTGCTCTCGGCCGGCGGCCGCGACATGGCCGTCCTCCAGTGGACGGTCGAGTGACCGCTAGTTTATGGGAGCGCCACCGCGGCGCCACAGAGACCCGCGGCGAGGGGACCGGACTTGGCCGTCATGAAGTTGTGAGTGCGCGTGTATGCGTCTGGCCACCCACAAATATACGAGAAGGCAGGCGATTAGGCCACGGCCGAGCCTGGTCCGTTCGAGATGCGCCCGTTGGCTTTTGAGCGTGCAGCCAAGGCGACGCCCGCTGGCTATCCCCCGCCGATGGCGCGTTTTGTTTGTGCTGTGGGTCCCGATCGGTGGCCTTATCGTACTAACCGGGCACCCGCCTGTCGGTTTATGGGTGGAGCTTCGTATCTCTTCAGAGGTCTTGTTTCCCATGTCCCTTTATCCCTCCGCAATGCGGGGCCCAGATTGTTCCGAAAATTGTCAATTCAAAACTTGCTTTGTGAATCTGGCGCTCGCAAGCTGTCCGTCCAACAAGTTTTATGAAGCTCCACCCTGTGTATGTATGATCCGTTTTATTTCATTTGTCCACACTGAACATAGGTAGGCTGGCTACTCCCGCGGTTCAGTGAAGTTTTCGCATATGGCCGATGAGCAAACCGCAGTCACCAGGTGTGCAGTAGGCGTACTTGAGGTCGGTCGCTGCAGACACGCAGGCTTTGAGAGCAGACGGGCGTGTCGCCTCACCAAAGCTTCGAAAACCAGCAGATGTGCGTGTTTGGAGTGACCTTGGGTCGGTGGTCTTTGTACGGACAAGGGTGGTGCGCGGTAGATAGGCGATTTTCCAGGAGCACCTGGCCGTTGTGAGAAGAATGAGCAGGTCGCGTGAGGTCGTGTTGCCCCTGCGTCCTTAGCAAGTGTTGCTTCCACCGTCACATGCGCCAACACGGTGACCTGACCGGACATGTGGGAGGTCACCAGGCGGCTCGAGTGGCCGTTCAGAAGCCTGTATTTATCTAACGTGAGGTGGTGTGTGTGTTAACGTTGTGACGTGAAGCCCGCAAATCGAACGCTTCCTGTCTTTTCGCATCGTTCAAAGCACATTTCCGCGAAGCGAGCTTCTCCGCACAAGCTTGCGTAATGCTCGGAACGTCATGTAATCTGGTTGCGCCATCCTTCAAGTGTATTACGTCACCGTATTACGCAACTGCGTTGAACCGCAATTGCAATTTGTAGCGTGTGTCGGTCCAGCCGCTTGTTTTTTTTTTGTAATAAATCTGTAGGAATTAAGCATTCGGATCATTCGCTCGGCACAGCGGTGGCCTGTGAGAAGCATCGCCCGGTGACACGCTCCGGTCTGCCGCCGGTCTGTCGCTGGTCTGTCACCAGTCTGTCACCGGTCTGTCGCCGGTCTGTCTCCGGTCTGCCACCGGTCTGTCACTGGTCTGTCGCCGGTCTGCCGCCGGTCTGTCGCCGGTCTGCCGCCGGTCTGTCGCTGGTCTGCCGCCGGTCTGTCGCCGCCGGCCTGCCGCCGGCCTGTCGCCGGTCTGTCGCCATACGCATGTCATTGCTCACCGCGCTTGGCAGTTCCGCTGAAGTCGGAGCAGCCGTGCCTCCATTAACCCGATACAAAGAGGCACCCGCATGGGCGAGCGTATGCATAAGCGGCATCAGGCAATGTTCACCTCACATGATGCTGAAGAAGCTGCCCGGCTGTTTATTTGCCCTTGGTTTTCTGGGCTACGAAAAAGTTGGTCGTCCAAATCGTCATTCTAACGACGTAGAGGACGACCGATACATGAAATGGGAACATGAAAATGACCGCATAAGTCAGAAACGAGCTAGGAACATAAATCTTCCCAAACCCTGGTAAGCCGGCGCTTTTATTTCGTTAACAGTGAGCACGATTAGGCACGAGCAGGAGATTGACGTGTCGCCATAGCACGACCTTCCCACCCACGCAAATTTTAAAAAAGAAATATCCCGCAATGGTCAAGCTCAGCTTGCCTAGACCACACGACTTCAAGCACGTCACGTTTGCTGTCATTGGGGCTTCGGAGCACAGGTAGAGTAAAAACGAGGCATGGGTCAAGATTGCCCCGACTCCGATGAAATCAAGTTAGCCAAAACCGGGACTAGGTCGCAACAGATGTTCGCGCGATTTCTTTAACGTCAGTTTATGCTCGTTATATGTTGATACACGTTAATATCCTATACGTTATACAAAAATATGTCACACACATTATGTTATCAGTTTCATGTTATATCTGCTCCTGGCGCGCATGAGTGCTCATTCGGCGCAGTTTCGCATGTAAAATGCATTTGTGCGGACGCGCATGCGCATCAGCAGGAGAACGTGTCTTAGATGGCTTCTAAATACCGCTTCCTATTGACAATCGGAAAGGTTAGAAACGCGAGAATTGTTCAGACCATCAAAAAGCCATGATTCCAGGCTTCCGATGAGAGATCGTCAGAGACAGAATCTGTCCCTTGTATTTCGTAGCTATGTGTTAAAATTCTTCGCACCTCCGACATTTGCATGTGCAGTGCAAGCATTCGCCAGATTCTTCCGCAGCTTCATCATAAAATGAATAATCAGAAGCATCGAAATTTGAACTGCACTATCTTCCATGCAGGCTTAAAAATAAATATGGGCATGAAAACCAAACATCTGAATTGCATTTAAACGCTGCTGTGGTTTCACAATCAAGACAAGGGAATAAAGGCAGCTGGATAAATGCAGCGAAGCAAAGGGAAAGGGACAGAGATCATTCAAACACTAGTCTCATTATTTTTCACTTATTCAAACACGAGGTCCTTTAGTAAAAATTGGAAGAATGGGCCCCACTGCTCCCTGGTATATGACTAGCAGGCGGTAGAGTAAGCAGAGGGAGACACAGGGGGCACGTGTCTCACTCCCCTTTAGGGCCCTAGGGGCCCTTCAGTCCCTCGGAACCTACGATTAAGGACTTGATTTGAGGGTCCAAATGGCCTGAAAGGTCTGCCGGAGGTCGTATTCAGGGGCCCGACCCACAGTGTCGTGCACTCCGATGCCAGCCAGAGGGCCCTGCGCGCTGGTCAGGAGCCCCTGAGTCGATAAGGACCTGTATATTGGTCAGACACCACCAGTAACCCGCAGTCGGCTCCGGAACGGCATGGATCTGAGAGTCCATTTCCCAAGCGGGGACGAAGGCGGAGCCAGCGATTTTAATTGGCCCGGTTGCCCACAGGGCCTAATGGGGGCCCTGTGCTGGCAAGGGGCAGTAAGTCGGGCAGAGGCAGTGTTTGAGATGGCCCAAGGAGTCTGGAGGGCCCACCGGGTCCGACAATCAATGGCTCGATTGGTGGATCTAAGGATGCGAAGGGCTGTTTGGAGCTTTTTTCAGGGGCCCCCACCGAAGGTGACGGACACCAAATGACAGTCAGAGGGCCATTTGCACCGATCAGGGACACCCTGAGTCGATATGGGTCTATATCTCGGCCAGGCACCCCCCGTACCACACAGTCCGCCAGTATCGGCATGGGTCTGAGCACACACTTCCCAATCAACTACAAAGCCAGGGCCAGTGATTTACAATGGCCGGGACCCGATGTTTGTCAAGGGCCCACAGCGTCTAATAGAGAGTCATGTGCTTGCAAGCGGCCCTAAACCGATCGAGGGCAGTGTTCGATAAAGCCCGAAGAGGGGCCCGGGCGGCCCAACGGAGCTGACGGTCAAAGGCCCGGTTAGAGAGTCTAAGGGCCCGAAGGAACGGCTGTAGGACACATAAAGCATCGCGGCCGGTAGGGTCGCAACGTAAAACATTAGTCAAAGGTTCTCTTGCACCGTTCGAGAACCCCTGAAACAATGGGGGTGTGTAAGTCGTCCAGAGACCACGAGCACCAAACAGCTGGCCTCCTGTCAGTCCGAACCCCTGGAGGCCCATTTTCCAAGAAGGGGCAAGACTAAGGGCTACAATTTGCATTGATCTGGGTCCCTGAAACATTGGTTGGGGCCCTGTGTCGGTCAAGGGTCCATAGTGCGTAACAGCGGGTCATGTCTTGGCTAGAGGCCTCTAGTCGGTCCCGGGCTTTGCATAAGGAGGTCCCAAGAGGGGCTGGAGGGCTCCGCGGGACCAAAGATCAAGGACCCGACTGGACTCGGGCCCGGCCCCCAAACCGTTGTGCCGTGATATGAAAGGTCAGCCAGAGGGCTTCTACAAGGGTTCTCTGATTAGGGTTTTCTATCTCTATGATATAGGGCTTCGACACGTAGTCAAACAGTCGACTCCATGACTCCACTCCATGAACCCTTGAGACTCATATGCTAACCAGGAACGAGGCCGGGCCCCCGATTTGCAATGTTCGGAGTTCCTGACATAATGAGGGGCTCCTGTATCGGTCAGAGGCCACATTGCTTGACAGGGGTCATGGGGCGGTAGGTGGCCCGAGTCGGTTAGGAGTGCTGTTTTAAGGGGCCCGAAGAGAGGCCAAAGGGTCTCTTGAAACCAAAGATGAAGGGCCCGATTGGATGGCTGAACGTTCCAAAGGGCTGCCTGTAAGTCACATTTAGGATCCCCACCCCTAGGGCGGCGATCTGGAATGTCAGTGTCAGAATTTCAGAATGTCGGAGGGCCTGATTTACCGATTCGAGACCCCTGAGACAGAGCATTCCTTTGATGAGGCCGGAGATCACCGACACCGAACAGTCGGCGCCGTGTTGGTCTGAGCTCGGAGGGGCCATTTCCCAAGCAGGGAGGCTTCCGAACCCGCGATTTACATTGGTCGGGTCCTCAACAACCCGCAGGGGCCCACAGTGTCTAGCAGGGTATTCTGTGTCAACAATGAACTCGAGTCGATCAGGAGAAGATTTGTTCAACAGGGACGGGGACGGGACCCCGAATGACAGAGGCCTCTCGCGTTGGTCGGTGCCCTCTTGCAATGAAAGGAAACATGGGAGCTTATGATGATTTTTCACACCGAGGCAATGGAAGGGATCTGTGCCAATCAAGGCCGCCAGCACCGGACCGTGTACTCTCCAAACCAATTTGAGCATGGGCTCGTTAAACCGAACTTGAGTCATGTGCCAAATATCTTACCGCCTGTGGCGATCAGGGATGTTGTTGCGTCAGCGAGGATCTCTGCGTCGATCCGGGGTCAGCTGCGGTCTGCGCGGATCAGAAGGTTGACATATCACTGCAGTCCCCTCTCTCATTAAAAGGGGGAGATTAAAGTGGCACGATGTTTCCCTCTAAGAGCCTCCGGCTCAGCCACGGCACCCCGCCCTGTGTCGCCAGAATGATGGCCGGAAGGCACCCCACGATAGTACAGAATGGCCCTTCAGCCCTTGACCGGTAAAAAATTGCCCGCTGGTATTCTACTCAAGGGATCCCTTTCCCGGAAATAAATAAGAGGTCTCATTAGTGATGAATAAAGAGGGTCCCAATGAGTTCAAAAACGAATGAGGTCATGCCTGAGAACGCTTATTCTTTTGCAAAATCTACCAGTGACACAAATTATCAAAAGGTTTGAGCCTGCGCGTCCGCATTCTCGGCTGACAGGACAGCGATGGCTTGGGTTGCAGTTTCCGGAAAACCGAACGGCGTTGGCCACTGTAAGTAACACCAGGAGACGGGTGCCGTGCCGTCCTTCATAACTCTGTACAGTCCAGATAGAGGGTCTGACAAAGCTTGTGAGTTCGCTTGGTTTAAAAGGACTTCAATGGACCATTGTAAAATGAAGAGCGACGGTGTTTTATTTCATTCCGTCGTTTAACGCATGATTCCTCCAGGCCATTCACTACAAACTTCACTCAAAATCTACCTCGCGGTAGGTTTTGGCTTCTATTTCAACTACAGAAGGAAAAAATGAAAATTGCAATGAAAAGCAGGCTTTCATTAATATATGAGCCATATCTGGAGGTTTTTGGGGTCCCTTAACCATAAGGAGGCCCTTGTTACTCCTGCGCCCCTCTCATGCCACGGCTCTGGCTGCGCCTGCCGGGAACACTTATGTGCTCTCTGTTGTTTTACCCACTGGGCCACTTGCCAGGAAAAAGGCAAGATGTCTTATTTGTCTTCAAAAGAGTGATTGAAAAGGAGGTCAAAAATGAAGGAGGTCACCCCATCTTGGGCATGGTAACGTCCATCCTTTCGCAAAATCGACTCGTGAAACAAATTATGTACAAAGTTTTGAGCCTCGGGCTCGCAGTCTTTGGAGCACGTGCAGCTATCGCCGAGGTTGCAGTTTCTGTTAAGCCAAACGGGGCTGGCCACCGCAGATAACACCAGACGGCGGGCGTTTGGCGAGCG